AAAGTATAATTACTGGTCTGCGTGGCTATAATACGGCATGTAGGTATATTGTCATGTCAAACTAACTTTATCTGTTTTAAATCATTTAAACCTATTTAATAGGTTTAAAATGACAAAAGTTAAACAATGAGCAGAATTCAACTGTGAGTTGAGTAAACTGTGAGTCGAATTGGATTAAAGATTTAGTCAATTTGTGAGATGAGTTGAATTTTGCACAACCGCTGAGTTATACATTTGTATAGAGCGTTAAGTTCCAATATACACAGTCTTGTTAAACCGTAAGTATGGTAATAAATTTGATGTAGTTAACCTGCGAACATTGGTTGTCTCTAAGTTGAGTTAAACTTTGGGCAAAGCTAAACCATGAACACGGTTTAACAGTCAGGGGAGATAAATCATCTATAAACCTGAACTGTGGTTATAGAGGTAAACCAAATGTAGCGTACACAAATATCAATTGTGATGATAATCAAACTCGGAGCTGCACAGAAACAAAGATAGAAGCAACTCAGTAAGTGAAGTTTAACTGTGGGCAGGAAATTCAATATGACTTAAACTGCTAGTTGAGTTAAAGTATTGCCAGAAATTCAATGTGAGTTTAACAACTAGTTGAGTTAAACTGAGGGCAGGAAATTCAATGTGAATTAAACCAATAGCTGAGTTAAACTGTGGACAGGAAATTCAATGTGAGTTAAACTGCTAGTTGAGTTAAACTGTGGGCAGGAAATCCAATGTGAGTTAAACTGCTAGTTGAGTTAAAGTATTGCCAGAAATTCAATGTGAGTTAAACTGCTAGTTGAGTTAAACTGTGGACAGGAAATTCAATGTGAGTTAAACCGCTAGTTGAGTTAAACTGAGGGCAGGAAATTCAATGTGGGCTAAACTGTTAGTTTAGTTAAACTGTGGGCAGGAAATTCAATGTGAGTTAAACTGCTAGTTGAATTAAACTGTGGGCAGGAAATTCAATGTGAGTTCAACCGCTAGTTGAGTTTAACTGTACGCAGGAAATTCAATATGAACTAAACCGCTAGTTGAGTTTAACTATGGGCGATATTAAATTCAAGGAGAGTGAAACCGTAGACAGGATTAAATTTAAAGTGACTTCAACCGTTAACGGAGTTTAACCGGGAGAGCATTCTTTTCAAGGTGAGTTAAACCTTTAGTTAAGTTAAACCGTGGGTAAAAATAAATGATAAATCTAGAGTAAAATTAGACCGTGTTTTTTTTTTCAAAATGATTTTTAGACGGTGCTGCTATTTGTAAGTGTACTGTCCTATATGTGTATTAACGATTCAGTTTTGTTATGGACGGTAACAGAATAAACCCGCGTCAACAAATAAACAACTGAGTAATAAACTTTATCTATTTTAAAACAATTGCGAAACAAGTCTTCAAAACTTATATAAATAATTATCGTTGGTCCGGGTGGAAGCGCGCGAGGGTCTTATTGTGGGAGGAAACCAGAATACGCGGGGAAAACCCACGTGGTCAGGCAGGTGACCCCATACCTTTTCACATCTATTTTTTAAATATAAGCTTTATTTATGTTACAACAATTGCGAAACAAGTTATGTTAAATTATATCAATCACTCTTGTTGGCCCGGATGTAAGCGCGCGAGGGCTCTTATTGTGGGAGGAAACCGGAGTACCCGGGGAAAACCCACGTGGTCGGGCAGGTGACCCCTTACCTTCTCACGTCCGTTCCGGGAATCGGCTAGGTGAAAGGCGAGTGCGTTACAGCTGCGCCACCCGACACCCACGTCCATTTCGGTAATCGAACCCCGGACGGCTAGGTGGAAGGCAATTGCGTTTCTATGACATCATCCGACGTAGTGTTCCGCAACTCTTGTAACATTTATGAATGAGATTGTTCCAATTTGAAAAACAATTATTACTGTTCAACTAAGTTATGACTTTTTGGGGATGAATATTCAAAGTGCACAGAAATGGAGCATTCGATCACGGATTACATTTTCATCTGATCATAAAACATGTACATTTTATAGCATATTGCTATTCATCTTGGTATAACGTGAGGGATTCTGATCATACGCTGACTATTATGTTCAAACTATATAGGACCCTGTATCAACAAGAGGCACTGCAGCCTTAATGATCAGCTCAGTTATATAAAAGTTGTCTTTTCCTGCTCTACTTTGTAAAATGCATTTGGCGTTAAAGTATTAACCCATGTTCTTAATTGTCAAATGGAAATTTAGCTATCGTGTCCAAAATGTCATATTCTTTGATGAATTACGGTGAACTTTGACCCCGAGTCATCGGGGTCACAGAATGCACAATGCTTCTACCGGACCAGTGTCTTTAGGTGACTATTGAAATTTCAGTCAATTTGACCTCTTTTAGTCCCTTCCCCAGGCCCCGGGGGAGGCCAGGGTCAATATGTGAACATCATTAAAGTACCATTATTTGTTGATTATTCTACCGTTGGATCTCATCCACGAAGAGTATTTGATTCTACCATATCTGGGTGTGGAGAAGAAGATTTTTTTAATTTTTTGTCCCCTTTTCGCCAATTTAGAAATGATAAACGGTGGATGTAGAAGCTTGTCGTGTTTTTTATTTCCAATTCTGTTACTTACGATGGACATTGTCAATACATTTCTTTTCAATAAATAGGACATCAGCAATATACAAAATGTATCTGAAAGCGAAATTAAAGGACTTGGCAAGGTCTTTGTAGCCTCAAGCTTTGAATGTCTTTTTTGACAAGCTCTTATTTCAAAATCGTATGAAAACAAAGTCAGACAGGAAAGGGTTACAGTTCCCGTAGTATTACAATAGCCCCTATGAAGATCTTAACAAACTCAATGATACCTGACATCCATTCTCATTCTTGGTGTATGCTATCTTGGCATAAAAAGGGACTTTTACTTTTCCTGTGAAGTTACAACTATATACATGTACCGCTATCAACGTCTTTTTATAACGACGGAAGAGAAGAAGGTGATTTATTTTCGATTGGAAAGCGGCTTTGGACATAAGTGGAGTGAGGCATTTTCCAGAAGCAAATGTTAAACATTGATCAAAAACCTGTTTAGTTTATACAAAATAAAAATTAGTTGTCAACATTTTTGTTGGAAGTCAGTAAGGCATGAAATTCAAGGATTGTTTTATAGAACAAAACAAATTCCTTCCCTTAATTGGAAATATGTTCAGATGAATTTCGTAAAACGCCTCATGCTTTTTCAAAACGTTCATCAACTGAAAAATCGTCATTTGGTTTAAAATTTTAGAGAGTAACACAATTCTGCGTCCGTCGACAGAAGAGATGGAAAGGGCTATTAATGACATGCACGAAGTCGGCACAACGCAACGCAAGATAGCAAGGTGGTTTGGTTGTAGCCAAATTAGTCAAAAGACGGTATGTCATTTATAGCAACATGAAACTGCAACCGTTTCAACATCTCACGTTACCACTGCTCGTGAAGACCTTCCAATAAGGCTGCAGCATCTTCGAGATTGGTTTCTTCCTTCAAGCGTAACAGGAAGGACTTTGCTTTGTTGACGGGTAAACAGTCAGACTATCCGTAGTAGGCTAAATGTGTGCGGGGAGGCCTAATACAGACGGACAAAGTTTTGTACACCGATGAGTCGAGATTACCTTTGATAGATTCGGTTGGGGTTGTGTGATGATCAAATCAGATTTGGGTTTTTTTCCTTGTCAATTGTCTGTTTTCACAGCGTCAAGGAGCTGGGTCCATTTTAATGATAATGAGACATTCCAAACCAGTATCGTGACAGGAACGTTCTTACAGCAGAACAATGTTCAAGCTTTGGATTGGTCTGCCAAATCCCTCGATTTGAACCCAATAGAGCACACCAGGAATGACCGTGGAAGACGAGCACGGCGTCTGCCAAATTCGCCCTGCAACTTACGGGAACTAGCGCAGACATTGAACAAGGAGTGGAACGCCATCTCGGCTCTATGCGCTGGTGCTGTAACGCTGTGGTCCTAGCCAATGGTGGCCACACAAATTACACTATTCTTGAAGACATAACCACCGCATGTCTTGTACATCACACAAAATCACAGAAGCAACAGCTTTTGGTCGGCATTTAAACGTCAATAAGCAGGTACCATACTGAAGCATTGCGCCCAAAACTAACCATATTTCACTGAAACCTGACAAATCTTGATAAACTTTTTTAAAGGATATATACTATCGCAATCAGACGGAAACTGATACGATATTGCTAAGAATGATAGTAAAAATAGTTCAAATCACAAATGAATTTTCGACCTGATGCTCGGCCATTTCTAAAGCAACAAGCTTAAATACACAGGTCAGGTCATTCGTTAGACAAGAGGGGAACTGGAAATCAAAACGGACCACTTGGGAGTTAAGATTTTTATACAAACATGCATATGACCAAATGATCTGATAACCTAAACTTGGTTCACCAGAACATAAAAAAAAAAAAAAAAAAACCCTAACAGATGACTCAAGTTCCTCGTCCAGATCCGTCGTTTCCTAGATAAGGACTCTATGTCGTACCGCCTGATGCTTTCAATGCTATTATCATACCCTGGATTACCTATCATTATTAGCCAAGTCAGGATCAGGCCGTGTGCGCTTTCCTTCTAGCGACCATGGTCCCACTTCCCTTGCCCGTCGAGTTGTATTCAATTCATTTAGAACTGAAGACTGCAGTCTAATATCGAATTTGTCCCAAGTCATACAAGATAATATCGAAATGCTAATTTTCGTAGTCGATAAAATACGGCCATTGATGATAACCAATTTGTTACAGATGTGGATAAGTAGCAAGAAACCTGATGCAATTATTTCCCCTGACACCAATGCAGGACTCGTGTGATATTAAGTGGGGGTTTTCAATTTCAATACCTATGGACACTCTAATAAAAGATGAAAAAATAACTAAATACTAGGTCCGTGCTGTCTGGCGTTTGATAGAAGCGAATCAAACTGAAGAATTTCATTTAGGATGCGTATCACAAACAAGAAAGAGTGAAGAGTTGAGTTGAACAGTGACAGGAGCCCCGGAAAGGTCTCAATCACTCGAGTTTATTGATCATATCGATGTCACCAGTATCACGTATTTCATCATAGTAGCATTCCATCAAAGTTAAGCAAACTCAGAACAGAATCTATTCAACTTATCGAACAGACTCAATTTAGACAAGTTTAGAAATAAAAAATATTGAGATTGCATAAAATATCAATGATAATGAATTATAACGTTCACGTTTTACTTTTGTTTCTACTAGAATGGTACTGCTGACATTTCTTAATTACAAAGACACACTGTGTAGTTATAATTGTCCTGGACCACTTTAACATCATACATTATGTAGATTAAACTACGTCTTCCGGCAGTGATAGCAATTTAAGGACAATCATTAATGTTGTAATTATCGTAAAAACATATGTCTAAATTAGCATATAACACAATACTGCCACTTAATCTGAGCCGATTTTCATCATAGAATACCCTAGTTCGATTGGCTTGATTGATTTCTTCGGTTTTGGAAAATACTTGTTAAAATGGCCCAAATCATATATTTATATTACTACAATTTATGGTACAATATATACAAATTATCCATACAGAAATAAAAGCTATGGTACAAGAAAAGCGTCTAGTTATGTCAGGATACCAAGGGAGGCAACCAGACCAAACCAAATCCAACATCCTCATAACAATATGGCGAGACTATATTGGACTGGACTCTCCGTACGTTGTATTCCAGGGGAGAGATTAACAATGACCACCGTGTATCCATGACATTGTGATACCTGGGGATTGTTAAAGTATTAAATAAATAAGTGATGACTAACAATGATACACAGAGTAACTACATCAACATTGGCGATCACTGCCAGTCCCTCCCTTGTCATGTTGATATAGTGTAACTAACGTAGGATTTATAATTTACCCACTTTAAGCCCATTTAAAACCACCATGTAAATGACAATACAGAAAAAAACAGGTTAACTTAAATAGCAGGAAAAAAATCAGTTGGATATTAGAAATTATTAGTGGTAGCAAGGGCAAAATAAACGTTTAGTGAGCGTGTGCTGCTCACCCTTATCCTAATTACCTCAGTTCCACAGTACACAGAGAACCTGAGGCAGTGGTACATGTATATACAGAAGATTTCACAACATCCACATCAGGATGTATTATACCACAGAATGTCTCAAGGCATATATATTAGCGTTTCTATCATACAAAAATAAAGCAGTCTTTTGGGGTCCAATTATATGGAACTGGTGAATGTTTCTGGTAAATATTTGACTCATGAGCTTTTAGCAAAACACTCCGCAGTGCAGTTCTATTGCTAGCTAACCCTACTGTTTAATTAACAATCCAGCTTTAACTGACACAGTCCACATAGATATGTGAACAGAGAAGTTGACATGTTAGTAGAAAACAATCTGATCAGAAATTTTGCCAAATATATATACATATATGTCAAATTCAACAACTCCAACATAAGGCTAATCACAAAAATTGACTGTCAAGACTATCAGCTTTGTGTTGGAGTTGTGCTTGTTGTGATTTTTTTTTCACAACGACTTATTTTGTTCTCTATATAAACGTATATCTTCTATATGACATTGACGGGATAATGAACAAACTGATAATAGTATGATAAATAACAGAACTCCATGCTTGTGTTGATAACTTATAACAAGTACATAGGAACAGCATAGTAAAAATTCCACTTTATAACAAAATGTAATCATCATCATGAAAAAGACAATACTACCCTGGTAAAATTCAAAACCTTCTTTTGGTAATGATTTCTCAGAATCATTGGTGTATTAAGGAAAAGACAAAATACCATCTGGAATATATTGGATATCACCATATAATAACATACTGGAGACTTCTCAAACGGTTTCAACCAAAAAAGTGAATGTCAGTCTTCAAAGTAGAAAGGAAGAAACAAAATAATGATATATATATCCATGACATTTCTCCTCAAGCTATTATAATCTCGGCCATATTCATACTTTCTTTTATTTAAAGCTTCAAAACAAACTCTTGAATCAAAAATGAACTGTGAATCTGAACAGTTGAACACAAACCATTATTCTGGAGTGTAGATATGTTCAATTCTGGAGTTTGCTCTGTGTGACTGTTGAAAATTTGCTGTTGAAATTATTGTTTGAGTGATTTTTAGGAGAGACTAACAGACTAAATCTTGACAGTATTACATATAAAGGACTAACCCAGTGGTTTCTGTAGGCGTACAATCCAGCAGATTCTCATCAGTTTTCAACAGACAGGGGTTACCCATATTATCTGGTATGAATTTGGTCTATGTATAAATCAATGTCATAGGTCCGTTAAAGGTCTTGTCAAGCACTTCTTAGGTCATAATGTCAGGCCTTTAATACAGTAAAATACATCCCTGTCAAACACAGACATGACTGAAATCATGTGCTTACTATAGTGTTGTACAGACATCAATAAAAAGGGCTCAAAACAAGCTACTCTTAAACTCTAAGAATAAAACTTGAGCGACAAGATTGATAGGGTATACAGTAAAATCTAAACTTGTAATAAAAAGACTAGAGGATATAAGCTGACACGTTGAATATATCCTAATATAGAGAGAATAATCACCAGAGACGTCACTGTTTTACTTAAAAAGCAGAAATCATTTACATTCAAATATATATTCCCTCTATTTTGCAAAATCCGTGGAAGTTTAAAAATAGAGCAAATTGATAATCTGTGCAACAAATAAGATTTTCAAATATCACAAAAACTGAACTTTCAGCTACACATAGGAAAGATTCTGTACCTCACATAGCATCCTTACATTAATTGTCATTTGAGCACTGAACTAGTTGCTTTAATTGGAAGTTATTTATATATCAGCATTGAATATCAACATTTGAAAGTCCATACATCCAGTGCTATAGCACACATGGATCAAGTTATAGCATTATTGTAATGACACATTTCTGAAATACCAATAGCATGGTCCTAACATTCCCATACACACACTTGGTCCTCTCATTTAGACACATTAATCACACGAACAAGCTACCTCATCTCACACCAGGTATAAAATCATACGCACACATACAAAGCTACACATATTGCACACATTCATGGCTGCGTCTCTGATCACAGACAACTACCATCATATTCCCCTCTTTAAACACCTGTGCAAAGTGACACATGTTCAAAGAACATTTGCATTGGAGAACCACAATGAAGTGGTGATCAGGACAAAATATTGTAAATACTGACACATCTATGCGAGGCTAATCCTCCACGATACTGAATCCTGTGACAGATCAGTTGCATAATCAATAGTATCAAGGACCTCTTAGAGGTCATGTGACCAAAACAGATCAATTTGAGGGCACCTGTACATCAGGCCACCTGGCCGTATACATGTGTATCTTCAATTATCATATGATGAACTGTCTTACACAGAGCCACTATTTGTCAGCAGATAATCTGCCTATAGTGAACACATGTACCCATATCAGGTTTAATCACCTGTGCATGGTACATTTATGAATGCAATCAATTTGCACAAAACTAAAAAATTGTCAGATGAGAAACACCTGTCCTTTGAGGACAGTGAAGAGTGTCTCATCTATACAGTAATACTTCACAGACTGTGAATTCTTAGTCACAGCATAAATTTGTATAGAAGGGTAACACAAACACAATATTGGACAACTTATCTAACCATTTATAAAATAGAGATGATGACCATACAGAAATGGTTCCATCTCTCAGGTAAAAAGATCAAGGTATCTTCACCTGGGAAATAACTGTCCTCCTCCGACAAGGGAGACAATCAATAATTACAAAGGAATGTAAACTTTACTTACTTTTCCTGGGAAACATGTTCATTCACAAAAATTGAATATCATGTCACTTATTAAGTGAAACTGAAGAATTTCACCAATAAGTATTAAAAAAAATTGTTTCTGATCTTGGCACTGTTGTTTGAAATATATCACAAATACACAATAAACAATATGTTACCGTAGTAAAAAATGTCAATAACTACTACTGTAGTAGTTTAAAACAAGCATTCAAACCACTGGTAGTTAGACATCATAGTGGTTTTATATCAACTTCTTTATTTATAACTAGCACATCTTTGTGATGTTGATGTGAAACAATTATACACACATCTCTTTGAACTAGAATACATCCACTTCTCTATGTATTATGCCGAGTTAAATACGTTTCCCTGGAAATATATTAATCAGGTATTTGTAATCAGCATTAAAAGCAACACTTCTTCCCAGTTGAGAGATCTGCTATCAATTTTCATACAGGTTTACACACTGTTGTTTTCTCAAGTAACAGAATCATCATTCAATAGCATGAAACATATAAACTTTCTGTCTCTGAATACATCCTCATTCTTATACCTCTTTCACATTCCGAAAAATATATGCTTTCTTTAGAAAAACTGTCAGGATATTCCCCAAGAAATTTATTCTTTCTTCCAGCAAAAGGTATTATAATATTCTTACAAGTTATACTCCATCACTAATCAACAAAACTGTTTTGTTGGAGTTTTCCCCCCAATATCTAGCAATCTTTTTATTTCTCAATATTTCAATCTGCATGCAATCCACTTATAAAACAAGACGTTCTCTCTCCCTCTCATGAAGTATACTGTAAAATCATCATTTGTTGAGGTTTTATCTCCTGTTCATTCCGTAGCTACTCGAAATTCATAAATTCTCATGTCCACATAATGATCAACAGAAAAAAAGTTAATGTGGATAATATTACTAGTGGATTTCATGAGCAAGATTAAAAAAAAAAATAAAATCCAGTCCCAATGAAAACACACATTTTCGTAACATTTGAGTCCCACATAAATATATGATTTTACAGTAACTGTAAATCTACATCCCATACTGACAACTACACAGCACTCTTACTCGATTTTCTTTTCTTCAACTGGGGTCGAATTCTATAAAAATCATCATCAATGACACTCACTACAGAATACAGAAATCCTGATGCAGTAAGAATGGTTCACTACTAAAGAGTGGAAGCTGAATGCTTTGATAAGCTGTGAAAATTCTTCACTACACAACTTTTTTTGTTCAATTACAAATGAATTACATGGTACCTCTATAATTAAATGATCATAATAATTTTTTTTTACTAAACTCATTGACAGCAATGTAACCTAAACAATGTAAATACCAGAATTAAGTTTTGGAATGTACAGTACTTTAAAATACATTACAAACAGGGAGAGTTCTCATCTCTCTATAGAGGTACCACACCAAAACTAAACGTGTTTAATGTCTTGCACAGACCATCACAACCGACCATTTCATTCAATTTTTGGACAGAAATTTTTGAGAATTGTTTGATGGATTTCTTGTTTAGTATGATATACTGGCATCAGTTTGTAACAATGAAGACATATAGGGTCTTATTCTTTACTTAGCTATGAAATACTGGAATAGACTTTTAAAACTCCTGGCTTTAAAACAGGAAAGGTTTTAGTACTTTTGGATAAACATCAGCAATACATGCAGAACTCTGTCCAGATTATATTTTAGCGCTAAGCCCTGAGGTTTTTTTGTTTTTGATGCAAACAGTTTCTCCCATTTACATACATGCTTATCAGTAATGATTACAAGTAGTTATGATACTTTATATATTATACTATTAGTCTGGCAAAAATCTATTAAATAGTCAAAACTATGATGTACACTGCATTTCAAAATCAATCATATTTGATCACAGCAAAAAACAAAAAGTTTAAGGTAGATTTTACTACACATGAAGTTTTTGTACATCAAAGTTAACTGCTAAATGCAAATATAATACATAACCATGCCAGCTAATTCAGTAAAAGAAATATGTAGCTATGAATATTACTTAAAAATAACGATAAAACGGACGTGTGTTCATATTTCCCAACCAACAGCTCTTGAAGTACCAACAATGCTGTATTTCTTATGAAGAGAGTAAGAAAGAAAAATCTAATTAAAAAAAAAAAATCATACGAAATGCACAAATCCAGTAAAGCCAATATGGCTGTTAATATCACTGTTCAACAGGGTTAAATGTTGATTGAGATATATATTGTTATTTATACACCACTTTGCTTCGTCCAAAGGTCAAAGTTCACTGGTGTCGACAGGTCAATTTGGGGTCAATAACTGTATGTACAGTTTTGTGTCAAAGTCATTCAATCATGACGTTATTCAGGGAAGGTCAGGTCAGAGTTCAATTTCTCCAGTCAATCTAACCCCCTGATTCACAGTTTGTCGGTATTCACACATCTAGTTATTAACATATGGAGGCTGGACTTCCATGGACTTAACACCATGTCCAGTGAAACCATATGTATTTGTTCACTTTTTCAAGGAATTTTCCAAGAGGCATTCTACAGAATTTTTCCCCAGAGAAATCTTGATATTGTCTGTAAATGTGTTCATTGTCCATCCCAAAGAAGACATTCTTGGAAGTTTGTGAACCGTTAAACCAAAATCTTTCCTGGAACTGTCCATAGAGGGTATCCTGGAAGAGTCGTAGTCAATTTTCTTGAAAGTTTGTGAACTGTTAGAACAGACCAGAAACTTTCCTGGAACTGCCCTTATTTTACTTTCAGGAAATGTCCGTAGAGTATATCCTGGAAGAGTCATACCGGATATCCTTGTGGTTAAAGTCAGTCCGTGTTTCAGTAGATGTTATCCTGTGCCGTCTCCTGTCATTACCCAAGGGGCGGAGCTATGAGATGAAGGGAAGGTTTTTTTCCTCAGAGTAGACATATGGCTATCTAATCTTGCCTAGCCTGTCAATCTCCAATCACAGGGTTTTACTAACAAGCGCCTAGACTGTACCACGAGAGAAAGTCAACATCGTGGTCTCCATCCTGTTGTCAAAACTTGAATCCATCAGAAGGAACTGTTGAATTTGGGTCAAACTGGAAACCTTGGGTTGTGGATTCGGGAAGTACAGAAGGATCTTCTTCCGTCTGAAAAAAAAAGTATAATTTAACAGTATGGCATGTTCCTTTTTGATCATAACAGAGAGTTTTCTTACAGTATTATATTAAAATGTTGACAGGAGATCAGAGACCTGACACAACAAGTGTATTTACACGTTACGCCAGAGAGATTGAGAAACAGTGACGTGGGTGGAGCTATCTAGAAGTTTAATCATTGACCATGGTCTCAGCTGCACTCCTTTATCAGTCATGAATATTCATGACTCCATGACACCATGTCACACCTACAGGGATATGTTGGGGCAAGGGTATATCATTTTACTAATCACACACAAACATTCACTCACAGAACCAAATACATCCACATCAATAAAAATTATCCTTTACACACTGCAATCTCACAAATTTCAGATTTTTTTTCCAATCATCGGTAACAGTTGGAACACTCGGATGTAGTTACATCAGAACAAGTGATAACCAAGAGTCCCTCATATGACGACGGGTATCAGTCAGATGTAGTTACCATTAGTACACTCACACAAAGACCAGGGACAAACTACACAATCTCTGTTTCATCACATCTCCTTTAACAAGTCACAAGTAGACTGTAGACTACTGTATTAAACTAAATAATATTACTATCAACAAAACAACATCAATGCCAAATTTCAATATTTTTGTATTTTTGACACAGTTTGACATGTTTTTTCAAAAACCTTTTCAGCTAAAAATATGTTAAAGTTTCTGTCAAACCTGATGCTCTCTCCTCAGTATTCAAAGATTTTAACCACAACTGACAGAATCATCATGCTAACAAAAGTCAAAACAACACCATCACATTAAGATCAGGTATACGTACCCTATCAGCACAATCAAGGATTAACAATTTGATTTGTTACATGACAGTATAACTTCCCTCATAATCTTGACACAATGTAACAAGTTTTACTGAATAGATGATCTGATATCAAGTTTAGTTAACAACTTACGTCATCAGAGAAGTAGTTATCAATAATTTCGTAGGCTAGTCTGTAGATATCAGAATTTTCATGGTTCTGTAGGCTTTCTATCTTGTCTAAACCTGAATAAAAGAAGAAAACAAAATTTGTTCAGTTCAAGTAAATATCTACACTGATTAACTAAAAGAGCATAACTGCAGTTACACTGGCAACATAAGAAATACTTGTACAGAGCTGTATTTAATGGCTTTTTAACTGACATGACTTAATCAAACATATATGTACATTTGTCTGTCTACCGTGATTTCCTTTTATTTCAAGAAATCATCAATTACAGAGTTAAACATTAGTTCTGACCTCCACACTCCTCGATGACCTGACAAATAGAGTCAACCTCATCGGCAGCCATTTTAAGGATGTTGTTGATTCCATCCAGCACCACCTGTACAACCTGTGTGTCTTTCACACTGAGGAGGTCACAGAAAGGGGGAATAACTCCCTGCTCTACCACATAAGACACCTGTAGAAACAAATAAATTTTTATCATCATATGAAGAATACATATGTGTCCTAAACATTTGAGTTGGTACAGACAGTTGAAACAGATTTTTCATATATAAAGCTGGAACTTTCCCTTCTTTTTTATTCTTTAATTCCTCTTACTAAATAGACAAAATAATCTTTAACTGGCAAATCCAACAGGATAGCCTGTCAGCCATGATGTTTTTCTAAATAATCCCAAATTTTACGAAGTTCACAATTAGGGTACCTAAAAGAAATGGGGATAACAAGAATAATTTACAGAAAAATGACAGACCATGGATGCACGTTGATATGAATATCCAAAGGTATCTTATTGATTACCAGGGTAAATTGTTGCTATGTTAAAACTGTATCAAAAGGACCTCTAAAAACCAAAATACTACAACTAGAAAAAAGAAATTAATGAAATATGATAATATCCTTTGAATTCTTTACATTTATCAAATACTGATGTTGATGCTGGCACCAATATTGAAGTGAACAGAAGTCCCAATCTATCCTGAATCTTCTACTACTTTGAAGATTTGAATAAAGAATTGAAGACCTCTCTCTCTCCAAATATCTATATTCATTACATGATAAATATTACCTGCTCTTTGCGGCCACTGATGGTAAGGTTACTTATCGCCCATGCAGCTTCTTTTTTAGTTTGAAAGTCTCCCTATAAGACAAAAAAATGAAAGTCAGCATGAAAGTCATTATGAAAGAAATAAAAGACTGTTTATGGTCAAGAATTTCCATCTTTGCTTTCACTGGTAATTCATAAGACCAGAACTTACTGTAAACTACTTCAGTTTTCGCAAATGTGCCTCTTCAGACATATTCACAAATAAATGATTCGGTGAATGCTGAACTAGAAATACTTTTAAATGAGCGAGTGATGAGCAATCACAGACATGGACCCTGCACAAAGCAGACATCAATAACCAATAAATTTTTAATGGCCACCATTTTATATACTTCACTCATTGAAAGGTAATATATATGGAACAATGCTGTTGTTTACTGTATGATGTAGTATTAATAGTCTCTAAAAGCATGTTATGATAATAAAGAAATCATCATGGATACCAAATGTAGTTATTTTATATAGGTATTTTCCTGTAGAAAGCATTTATCCAAGATTCATAGGGTGGAGGATTTACAACCTTTTGTCACTACGTGGAGTATTTTCGGAGAAGAGTCTTTTTCTTTTAGCTAAGTTTCCTTCTTTACCTACCCTGACTAGATGGTGTTTAATTAGTGGAGTGGTTACCTGCCCAGACCAGATGAATTTAGTTGGAGGAGTAATGCCCTCTATGTATAATTAGTGGCAAGATTTACCTCCCCTAACAAGATTGTGTATAATTAGTGGGAGTGGTTACCAACACTTACTAGATAGTGTAGAATCAGTGGTAGGATTTACCTCCCCTGACAAGATGAGCTATAATCAGCAGGAGGGTTTACCAACATTTACTAGATGGTGTATAATTACTTGGGTAAGTTACCTACCCTGACTAAATGGTGTATGATAAGTGGGATGAGTCCAGCATCTATCACTGCCTGGACCTGTTGCTGATTGCCTGCAGTTATGTTGGATAAAAACCAAACTGACTCCTGCAAATAAAGAAATCTTCATTACTCAATCATTTTCCTTCTTATGTCTTACTTTTTGTGAGAAAAAAACATCACATAATTCATGACATTTCTCTCATAAATTATCTAACAATCAATACCACTCACAATATCAGATTACTAAATGATTGCATATATGTAGACGTTGTCAACTTGTGCTAGGGTAGAGCAAACTACAAAACATTATCAGTAAATAATCTTAGGGACTATTGTATATTAGCTACAACTCAATCTTTAATGATCAAGAACTAGACCTTAAATGCAATGTCTAGTAAAATTATGACAGATGTAGAGACAGGAAAAATGCTGTGTGGCTTCAGCCATATAATGGTAGGACATACATCTTACCTTATTGATCTTTTCTTTGGGATGTGTAAGAAGAGCTGGGAAGTGTGAGAGAGCGTCACAGTTTAGAACGACCTGCGTCTCATCATCTGTACCTGTCACAATGTTTCCAACAGCTCTCAGTGCAGCAGTCTGCAACAACAAATCTTAATTGAGTTTTAACATCCATCTGATCTAAACATACCTTTGGTATATTCTAATGACACTTAATATACCAATGCTATAAACCTTAAACACCAAATTGACCACTTGTATATGATAAACTAACCATCAGTATATGTTACAGTATACAAACCTTAAAGTTGATGCTTTTGAATTGTTTGAATAACAATCCTGACAAAGACAAGCTTACCTGGACCTTGACATCAGGATGACTCAGAAGGGGCACTAGGAAGGGTACTACTTGAGAGTCAATCACCATCTGAATCTGTTCATTACCACCGTCTGTTAGGTATGACAAGGCCCACACTGTGTCTACAAGGATCTACAAGTTAAAAAACAAACATGATTTTCAAGATCTGTAAGTTACAGCTCATTTTTCTCTAGAAACTGATAACATGCTCATAAAGAGCCGAGACAGTACAGTATTACATCAGACAAACATCAGTAATTAGATGGACACTCTAACTCAAGTATCTTTGTCATTCTCATTTCTCTCTCAATTCTGAATTAAATCGTATCATGATTATTTGTTGGTAAGCTTCGGTACATACATTGATATCTGTGTGGTGTATGAGTTGCGTGAGAGCTGGTAGGATTTCCTGAATTGTATCCAGAGGTGGAGGTGGCTCCTTATTACGACACAAGTTGACAATGACCCAAGCCACATTTCGGAGAAAGGGAAGTGGGATAGTTGGGTTGATAAAGGACAGAAGTGGCTTGACAGCACCCAGCTGTATCACATAATCTCGACACCTTGGACCATCACCTGGAAGAAGCAATTCAAAGTTTCAAAATGATGTTCGTAAGGTTACTATCTGTTAGTAATGGGTACTGGTTCAAGTTTTATAATCAATAAATACACATAATCAATAGATTAATCAATCATAATTGATTCCATTTGTAAATTACAAAACCTTCATTGGTTTGTTTGTTGCATTAAAATTTTTAGGATCCTGGAATCTGTTAATATTAGTATTTCTATACTTTTACTACTGACAGAAAAAATGTATCAGTTGTTTATTTCTTCCACTGAACAAACATCATTTTGGTAGATTTTGAAATCAAAAAATTAAAAATATTTGAATCATTGAACAACCACTGATATAATATTTTCAAGGCTGCTTGTTGTTAATTAACTCTAAATAAATAACTTACAAGTCATTCCTGATTCCTTCATTACACATGACTTATAGGAATCCTACAGGACTCCTAGGAATCCTACATGACTCATAGTAACCCTACATATGACTCACAGGAACCCTACTTATTATTTATAAGAAATTACCTTAAAATTATGTGTCTACAGAGCTTATTTATGTCTACCGAGTTAGTTTTAATGTCGGATACTGTGAACTTTTTCCATCACTAGTTTAACTTGATATTTTTTTCAAAAGTGGTTTAAAATTCAGTTCCTTAGAACTCTTGCAATAGTTTGTGAACTGTTTCATCTTTAAACACTAACAGATTGTATAGGTATACATGAGAAATAAAACAAACAAATGATTTAACCTTTAAAACAAATAGCTTTTTTTCCTTGACTTGAAAAAACTGACAGATATGTGTATTGAAGAACTATACCTATGATGTTGCCAAGAGCCCACACAGCCTGCTCACAGACATTTTGGTGTAATGATTCCAGGAGCCTTAAGAAGTAGGGCACAGCACCTGTTAATATACAAATCATAAATTAACTGATTCTGAAAACAATATGTTAGAAAGTCTTATACAAAAAAGGTCAGCATAAAAATTTCACTTCAAGTCATTTCATGTAGATTTATCTAACAATCACTTTGATACCATTTTCTCATTTAAATAACTAAGACTATTAAGTATCTTAATTCTAAAATGGGAATTGTTTTCTTTTTCCAGTAAGGCCATAATTATTCTTAATGATTATTGACATATACTTAAATACAGCTGAAGCAGATTGAAAAATTTGAAAAATCACTTAAGTCATTATCACCATGTAGATGAATCAATTTACCTGCGTTAACAACAGCTTGAGTCTGTTCTGAACTTCCTGACGCTATATTGGTTAGTGCCCATGCAGCTTCAAATTGTAGAGAAGGGCTGGAAAATAATCATTAAATTATACAACACAAGTGTACCAGCAATCATTTTTACACAGCTGATTTCATTTTAATGACAGGATGTCAAAACATTGTGAAAAGAACCTTATGTAACCATAAGGGTAAAAGAAATACATGTAAAACCGTATGTTGATCTATAACCAATAAGATTAGACATTAAATACTTAAAACTTACATACTTGTTATCATAGCTATGCAATAACATGTTTCTATTTCTGTTTCTGCCTTTACTATCTACATGAACTATTTTTTAATAAAGTGTTAGATAAGTTTTAAATTAAATATTTCTTACTTGTCATCTTTCACTAAACAATCAACAAGTGTTGGTAGGATTCCTGAAGAAATCAAGTCATCAATTGGTGGATTCCGGTCACTGGATAAAAGTTTTCTGCAAAAGGAAAAAAATAGGAAAAATGAATATCATCTTAAATATAAAGTGAACTATAATCACAATCCACGAAAAACCAAGTGATTTTCTACATCTTGTTCTCACAGCAAATAAAACAATTCTACTACAGTAAATGTAACATTTTTACTCCAACTAAACAATTTTGGAAAAAAAATAAAGAAAGTTTTCTCATATCCCTAAAGGTTTGTTTTCAATTATTTATTCATGTCACTTTGACTAGTGCATGACATGTGCCTACGAAATAGTGCATACGGTGCCAGAAATTGGTTGGGTATAAACCTGCTCATCATATCAAGTTTGTTTGCCTCATAATTATTTAACTTAGATTGTGATTTTTTCTCTCTAGCAAATAACAGTAAAATGCAGGAATCAATCCACTAATTTAGATTTTAAAGAGTCATTTACCTGGCTGCTTGCACTGCTGTTAATTGGACTGTGGGTTCTGGACTGGAAGCATTTGCCACTATAGCCTGTAGGGAATCATGTGTAGGTTTTTCTGTATCCTCTGAGTCGGTACTGTCTTGGGCAGGAACATTTCTTCTCTTAAGAACATAATGGTCTCGCTTATTCTGCAAATTGTAAATAAAAGGATTTATAAAAAAAAATCATCAAGTCACTGGATTCCAGTAGGTAATTTTCTTGCTTAAACACATGAGTTTGATCTTATTTGAGTAAATGGCTACCGCCCTCTTTCTGATCAGGAAAAGGATGGAAATCAATTGCAATCAAATCTTTTGAAAATTGTGACGTGAGCTACCTATCACTTGTGACACTGATCATGAGATGTTAAAAACTGTTTCAAGACTAACCCTTGAAGTATGTCAAATGATAGCAGTAGTGTAATCATCTTCTACTCAGTAGCTAGCAAATTAATATTGGGCTTGTGAAAGTTACAGGCAGAGCTTGGAGCTATCTATTATCTGTCAATGGTATTCAGCAGATAAAAAAAATCATTCAAATTCTATTTTAGACAGTAACCATTATTAATCTTTTTTTTTCTATATCTAAACAACTGATATCAAATTTTCAATCAGGATTGGATGAATTTAATAATCAGTAACTTTTCATGTGGGCAAGCAAAAAGAAAAACTTATTCAAAACTTATGTTCCTTGAAAGTAAATTGTGTTCCAACTAAATTCACAATATTTAACAGGGTATAGTACCTAAAGCATTGTTTTCTGACTTTATACATCATCTAAATACAAATTTGTAATATTCAATAGACTCATGTTTGTAATCAGGACTTTGTACATATTTATAAGAAAATATGATATGAATAAGTACCACCATATCCTTCCCCGACCCAACAAAAAAAAAAAAAAAAAAAGGAAAAAATAAACAGTGGGCTTCTTCAGGACCTGAATACACTTTTAATGGTAAGGTGACAGTCCTGAAGAAGCCCACTGTTCGGGCGAAACCGGTAGACATTTCACACGAATAAAAATCAACTTATCCCGAACCTGTTGCGATTGACTTATATACTTTGATATTCCTGTATGTATTCATTTAAAGAGGACTAAATGAGTTGATATATCTTGTGTCCAATCCTTTTGATCATTAACAATAAAATATGTTTAAAACAAAATGAACAGAAGAAACATACATTGTAAACCAAAGTAAATAGATCAACCAGTTTCTTTTCTGCATACCTCACCTGACAAGTCTCCAATTCAAAACTGGGGCCTCAAGTTTATTTCAGTCAGTCATCATCATGTAAATAGTGCTTTTATATAGTTAATTACATTATGCCAGTTTGTAATAGAATGTTTATGAACAAACATCACTGAATTTAGAAACATTAACAAAAAAACTTCTGTTGTGAAAGACAAATGCAGTCTTGAAGGACTCCTTGATAAGTATCGACTCACTTTGTGTATAATAAATTTACCTTTCTTAGTTCAACAGTAACTTCAGTTCTTCGTCTTCGCATTTCCTGCAAGTAAACATATTAAATACAATATTTTGTGATTAATATCTTATATTTCCTTAGTTTTTTAAAAATAAGAATTCTACTAATAAACAGATAGAAATTCTAGGGAGATTGCAGATATGATGATAAATGAGCAATTCAAGAAATAGTATAATACAATTTTCTCACTAGATCTCAATTTCCTTTGTGTGTATCATATTGATTTCTTATCAATAATGAACATACACAAAAATGTGTACCCACATCTGATTAATTGCTCTTTGGTTACCATGATGACATAAGTAAGTTAGACACACTTCACAAACATCAAATGTTTTTATATATTCTATAAATCTTACATACAAAACGAAACGAAAACGCCAATATTCGGTAAACACGATGCAAATGTCCTTCAATGAAAAAAATAGTGCATTCTACTGAAAATGGCGTATAACTTCGAAGATTGAAAAGCGACCCAAATGAAACTATGTGTGCTCAAATGTCTTTTATAACACATTTTATCAGAAGAAGTACATGAAAAAGCCGTCCATTTAAGTAGCTCGTCTACTTTCACATTTCATTGAATCGACTGTGACGGGTCTCTCGAACAATCGACCACATGGCACTACCTCATGTTTTCGCTTTCATATCAACCACAAATCAAATGAAACATACCTCTGCATCTTTGCCTTTATTTTTAAATAGGTGTGTTCTTCCTTTAACACCAACTTCTGTCGTCATTGTGCAAAGGGGTACTTATAGTTTTTCGTATTTTCGACTCCGGATAAACTGCTATTTCCCCAAAATGCCGGCCTTCTTTTTGAGTCAAGCAGGTTTTAGTACGGACGTTCTGATTGGATAAAATTCCAATCCCGCAATTACGCCATTCTGTAATTGTCACTTTTTTGTGCGATTCAAAAACACGTTATATAAGATAAGTTTTTATTATACTGTGAAAATAGACTAAAGTTGATTTAACGATAAGTAATAAAGTAAAAATCATCAAACATTAATTTTCTAATTGACCAATCAAAAATGACATGACAAATATTGTCGTTATCGTAGTTCCGTACAAGAAAGTAGGCTTACTCCTGTGTTGTAAATTCCTTAGGCTAAATGAAAATAAATTGTCTTCTTTTTTTTCTACGATATATACGACTAATGCATAGCTGTGATAATTTTTTATTCAAAATTACAAAATACGAAAACAACAATCTAATCGATCGGTAGTGCGTTTCAAATATCAAACATCACCATGACTTAGATCATTGAAAAGCGGCGGGGACACGAAAGTTGTTACTTTAACGACAACGCGACATCAAGCCATGGACAACGATTCTTTTCAGTTACAATCGCTCCTTTCTAATGTGACATTTTTGTCACTGTCATTTGCTACATTGCTAGCTCTGATTGGAGTTGTAACAGGATTGTATCTCGGTAAAACTAGAGGCCAACAATGGACTCTTGCTTGGCTTGTTTACAATGCTCTAACTCATTTTGTGTTGGTAAGAAACATGTTTAACTGGTTTAACGTCCACTATCAATTCCTTGGTGTCATATGTGAATAAAGGAAATATTATGCAAACACTATATAGTATGATATAGGCATTGCCTAAAAGCGAGTTCAAGTTGGTCAACAAGATGCATATCTTGAAAAATAAATAACTACCCTTATATCGCCTTCAAGAATTATTGCAGAAAAGAGTTGTATGGTAAAATTTCCCAGTCTTGAAATTCTGCTAATGTTACATCAATATAAAAGGAGCTGTGGGAGGTCCCAGTAATTACAGACCTATTGCTATCACTTCCTGTAAAGTTCTGAAAAAAAATGTATTAAAAAGTATGGCTTCTACTTTCATAACAAAAACACCATATAATGAAAATATAAACCATTCTGAGTTTCAGCATCTAGGTACCCTACAGTCGGCGATGAAGTCGATTTCTGTAGTTTATATGATGCAAACATTAGAAATTTAGTTTTCTATATACCATTGGTAAAGCTTTTGATAGGTTACAGAAGGTTCTTTATTTAAAGTTCAGAAATAAGGTATCTGTGGAAATCTATTTTGGTTTTGAAGTTATTGATCTGACAGGAATCATGTTCTTTTTTTAAGGCTACCTACTTTTAAAACTAAACACTATGTCTGCTGATGTCTTTCAATGTTCGATGCTTTGTCCCTTTTTTTCCCTGTAATTCAGTTAATATATTCATTATGACTCATAAACTTAATACTAATATTAATTTTTTTTCTGACAACTGTCTCTTCATAATATTGTAGATAATGGTGTTATTACTCCAGCTAATGTTATTAAACGATGATTTTGTTTCTATTAACCATTCAGCTGAAATATAGAAGATTAAATGCAATGCCTAAATAAAGATAGCTCAAACTATTACCAGTAAAAATAGAACCCACCCTTTACTCATTTTGATAATCATATGATAAGTGACAATGATGTAAAGATACTTGTATTGTTTATATTGATTGGCTCACTTCCTCCTCTTATAAGTAATAAACTACTTATAATGAATTCCTGGCTGATTGTTCAACAGCATTGAACCCATTAATATACAGAATGCCTGTTGTCAAATCCTTTTGTGCAATTTTGTACAATTTTTTAAAATGTGATTATAAAACATCGTCCAATTGCAGAATCCAAATATGTAAGTGGTATATACACAGAGGCACCCAATGTCATTTTGATAAGCTTTAGTAAACAGTAAAATGCTGGGGGACTAAAGCACCTCTCTGAAATACATTTGCTAATTTTGAATCTGAAATAACAAGAAGTCTTGTTCTATTTTATATCCTTACTTTTTTCCAGCAAAAAGAATTTACGAAACTGAATTTAAGAGATAAAAAAGGGGAGTTCAAAAGGAGCAAGTCAGTGTGATATGTACGTAGTGTAGTAGATACAGTATGTGTCACTCAGCTGGCAGAGCATGTTCAGGTTGTAGAGCCATAAATTAACACTTGGGAGACAGGTTAAGTTCCTTGCTCTTTTGACGTTAATGTGTTTGTCCCTATCTTGTTACAAAAGTATGGAGGGCGCTCTTTATGTTGATGACTTCATTATATACTATCAGTCTAAACATATGAATACCATTGAGAGACAACTACAACAATATTTCAATAGATTTAGGCAGATGTGGGTTTAAATTTTCACAATCAAAAACAGTTTGTAGGCATTTTCGTCGAATGCAAAGACAACATGACAATCTAACTCTCTACCTTTGTGGTGTACCATTCCAGTGGTGAGCAAACCAAATTCCTAGGTGTAATATATGACAGGACTTCCAAATATAAAATATCTTCAAGCAAAATGTCTTAAAACACTGAATATTCTAAAGGTAATGTCCCACACTGGTTGGGGAGCTGCTAGAAAAGTTTTGCTAAGACTTTAAAGTGCTCTTATTACATGAAAATTAGACTACGGTTCCATTGTGTATGGATCTGCTAGATCGATTTATTAGACACTGTTCATCATCAGGGTTTGAGGTTTGTGCTCTAATTTTTTAAGACCACACCTACAGCAAGCCTTTATGTAGAGGCCAACGAACCATCACTATATAGCCATCAAAATAAATTGGCTTTGCACAATTCAGCTTAAGTCAAATCCTTCAAGTCCTGCCTTTTCACTTGTATTTGGTCCAAAATATAAAACTTTGTTTCAAAACAAGCAAAAGACCATTATGTATTCAGATTTCCGCTCTTTCACAATACACAAATATTGATATTGACCAAATATATCAAATTGACCAGTCATTTGAAACGATAGAAATTCCTCCCTAGCTCTTCAATTCACCTGAAGTTGACTTTTTACTTTATGAAAATGTTAAATCGGACACTGACAGTCACACCTTCCATTCATCCTTCTCGAAATTGCACTTACAATATAAAGAATTTCTACATTTATATACTGATGGTTCAAAAGATAGTAAGGTTGCCGCGGCCATGGTTACACAAGATGAAGCCCATGGATGCTGGCTACCCAACAATGCCTCAGTATTCTCAGTGGAAAAGGGTCAAATAGAGCTATCTACCTCGCCCTTTAACATATTCAAACAAACACAGTAATGAGAACTGTTATATATTCAGGCTCTCTTTTTGTACTACAAAGTCTTAGCAGTAGAGATATTGACAATATTTTCATTCATAATAAATTAATACTATATCATGGGCACATGGGAATACCAGGAAATGAAAAAGCAGATCGTGCCACAAAGGAAGCTTTACCGCTACCACCTGTTGTGTTTTAACTTCATTTTACTGATTTTAAACCATTTTTACACAGTTTTTAACAGCTCAGTGGCAGGAGGAATGGAATCAGTATATGATAATAAATTGCATTCTGTAAAATCTATCAACAGTGAATGGTTTCCATGCTATAGAGACAATCACAAAGACGAAATTGTCCTTGCTCGTCTTTGGATGGGCCATGCTTATCTTGCACATTCATGTATGTTGAAAGGTGAAGATAATCCTCAGTGCCTAGGATGTGATGAGCCGTTCACCATTAAACATTTTTGATTGTACTGCATTGACCTTCCGTTTACTCCAGAAAATTTTCATCATAATATTATAATGCAATTCCAAAGACTCTTTTTGAAACTGCTCAGATTTATAAAATTTTAGGTATGAAAGATGTTTGTCTTAATTATAGACTATGACTTGACATTTTAATCTTTTGTGATAATATAACCATATAAAATTTTAAGGATTTGTCTTTTACCTTTTAGTTTGTCTGGTGTTATTTCCTTTTGGATCGCGGTGTGTTTCACGGTTGATGACCCTAATGACCTTTTATGTGTTGATGGGTCATTAAGAATGTAATAATAGATTTTTATAAAAATAAATTCATTTGAATACAACATGCCGTTATTATATACAGAGTATAGGTAGGTGTCTTTTTCTTTATGTTACTGTGTATGTGCCAGGTTTCCTGTATCATAACTAGTTATAATTCATGATTACAGAAGAAAATGATTTGTGTATTTGGTTTTGACTTCAGGAGGGGTCCTTTGTCGTCTTCTCTTTGAGAGGGACCGTCATCAACACAGATCATTTCTTGGCAACAATCTGTAAGTATTTTTGTAAAAAAATTGACAAATACATGTTTATCATGACATTTAAATGGCCATACACATTGATGTGTCATTTTGTAGTTTAATAGGAATTAGAAGTTTTCTGCCTTGCTGGGGCTCAAACTCCTGTAGCAAGCTAACTCAAGGCTCTGAATATACATAAGGTATATACCAGCAGTGTTGAGGGAAATGCCAACCTACCAGATTAATTAATTGAGCTGAACTTTCGCTTTACCTCTGTAACTGGTCTAATTACAATTTACAATGTATTTACTACTTACAATAAGCTCTGTTTTTTTGCATCAATTCTGCCAACTTTGCTCTTTTCCCCTATAAACATATTTGATAGATTTGTGTAAATTATGTTAAAGTTATTGATTTAACATGTGTTTAGGGAAGGAGTACGCTAAAGCTGATCGGCGCTGGGGTGTGTCTGATCCCACTATTGTATCACTTGAGATCCTTACTGTAGGACTGGCGGGACCTTTAGCCCTGCTTTTATGTTATGCCATTGTGAAAGACCAACCATACAAACATTTTGTACAGATCATACTGTGTGTTTGTGAATTGTATGGAGGTAAGTTAAAGGGTGCAGTATTTTTCATTACCATTCAATTAAGGTTATTGGGGATAACTAAAGTTCAACTCACATTTACAAATGATCAAAATGGCTTTGCAACACTTGACAATCATTGCTTTGTTTGAAATTGAAACACATTGTTTGATGTGTTCTGATCAATCAACTTACAAAATTGTTTTTAGAGAAATCATGTAAGTATATGTGTTAGTAAGTTGGAGGAAGTAATAACATTATTCCATTTACAAATTTAAATCCATTCCCTGCTTGTAGTGTCACATTATGTCCAGTGTATTTTGATCTTTTGTGTAATACATGAATCCATGTTACAGGCTGGATGACGTTTTGTCCAGAATGGCTGCAGGATAGTCCCAATCTGCGTACAGACAACTTCCTGTACCTTTGGGTTTACCTCGTCTTTTTCAACATGCTGTGGGTAGTTATTCCCCTTGCAATGCTTGTCCAGTCATATAGAGAACTCTTCTATGCAGAGGTTCAGAAAACGGTCATCACAGAGACCACAACAACCAAGCTCATCACTCATAAATATAACACACGGTCGAAGAAAAAAGATTGATGGTTCAAAATGGGTTTTTATACAAATCAGGATAGTAACATTGTTTACTGTATATATCTAATTAAATAGAATTTCTTTTTAAGAAACCTTTTACAATGTATTTATTAGAGGCTGTTTGTGAAATCCAGAACCACTTAACAAATATTGTTTATCATGAAACAGTTATAACACTTTGTAAGATTTTATCTGACAAATCAAAAAGTTTTTAATGTATTTCGTATTCTTTGATTTCATGTAAAAAAAAAAAAAAAACAGTGAAGTTTTGTTGGATTGTTTCAGCTTATGCTAGTAGTGGTAGTAAAGGTGGACTATGAAGTACAGATCCCCTGTGTTTCGTGGCTGTTGATTACAAAAATTTGCACGTATTCACAAATTGCTCAAGTTAAATTTTTATAGGAAATATATATAGAATATAACCTGGAAGTCTACAACTGTTTGTTACACCTAAAATACTTTCCCACATACTAAGTTTTAAGGACTTTCTGATGTTAAGAAATATGGTTTAGGTATGATTCTGCTACAGCTTTGTACTGAAGTAGAACTCTTATCATGAAAAATTCACATTTAGTTACATAAGTGGTCTGGATGTACAGTGGAACCAACATAGACACCTGACTGTGAACAGATGTCATTTAGTAATGTAACTGATCAAGTTGTTAAGTGGAACAACACTGGACCTATGATGAGTTTTAGTTGCTTAACTGATCAGATTGCACACTGGAACAACACAGTTCCAACATACCTGCGATATAACAAATCAGATGCCTTTTTTCAGTCATTAGTTGTTGTATTATATGGTTTATTTATTTGTTAGTAGATGTAATATCAGTGCTGGTTGTGTTACAATATAGGATCAATGATGAAGTGATGCTAGTAGATGTAATATCAGTGCTGGTTGTGTTACAATATAGGATCAATGATGAAGTGATGCTAGTAGATGTAATATCAGTGCTGGTTGTGTTACAATATAGGATCAATGATGAAGTGATGCTAGTAGATGTAATATCAGTGCTGGTTGTGTTACAATATAGGATCAACGATGAAGTGATGCTAGTAGATGTAATATCAGTGCTGGTTGTGTTACAATATAGGATCAGTGATGAAGTGATGCTAGTAGATGTAATATCAGTGCTGGTTGTGTTACAATATAGGATTAGTGATGAAGTGATGCTAGTAGATGTAATATCAGTGCTGGTTGTGTTACAATATAGGATCAACGATGAAGTGATGCTAGTAGATGTAATATCAGTGCTGGTTGTGTTACAATATAGGATCAATGATGAAGTGATGCTAGTAGATGTAATATCAGTGCTGGTTGTGTTACAATATAGGATCAGTGATGAAGTGATGCTAGTAGAGGTAATATCAGTGCTGGTTGTGTTACAATATAGGATCACTGATGAAGTGATGCTAGTAGATGTAATATCAGTGCTGGTTGTGTTACAATATAGGATCAGTGATGAAGTGATGCTAGTAGAGGTAATATCAGTGCTGGTTGTGTTACAATATAGGATCAATGATGAAGTGTCAACAATATAATGTTTGTTAGGTCTACATATATTCCTTAACACAAGAGGGAAGGATGGTTGGGTGGCGCAGTGATAACACACTTACCTTTCATCTAGGTGTCCAGGGTTCGATTCCTGGAACAGACTTGAAAGTATGGGGTCACGTGTGTGACACGGTGGGTTTTCCCAGGATACTCTGTTTTCCTCCCATAGTAAGACCCCATGCATGCTTTTGTCAAGGCCAACAGGAGTGATTAATAGAAGTTATATTTTTTTTCTTTTTGCTGTTGTTTAAAAATAAGTATAGGCTTTTGTTTTTTTTTTAAAAAAAGAGAGTTTCCCTTAACTTCATATAGCAGATGTCCACAGTTGATTTCTGTTGGAAGAAAGTTTTGATAATATTAGCTTTACCATCGCTAGAGTCCAGACCAATGAGTCCTCACAGCAAGTTTGGTTTCAGTATTGGAAGCTCTATCACGCACAAGAACTGCAAAGGTGCAAGTTTGTGTCATAATGAATAGACATACATTTTATTAAACGCTTAGAGAATGTTTGATAAAGAATACTTATTATTGTAAGGAAGTGTTTTTTTAAAGCTTGATGATCATATGTAAGTACGATATTTAATAACCTTGTATGAAGTACTTAATACGCCTTTGAATGGTTACATATTTAGCATATAACTTAAGCTTATTTTCAGGTCACCTGAAACTAAGTCCCATGGTGACGTACTGTGATTGCCTTTTGTCTGTCGTCGTGCAATGTGTGCCTTTTTAATGTTTCCAACTTTTTTGCAAAAACACAACCAATTTTAATGAAATTTTGCACAAACCTTCAATGGCCAATGATGAACCAGAATTGTAAATTATTTCGTCCCCATCCTAAAGAGGTCTGAGGGGCACGGCCTAAATTGGGAAAAATTGATTGAAATTTAAAATTTTCATCTCAATAACAAAGTATAATAGAATGGAATGCTCTTCATGAATGGAAGGGTCTTAGGTAATTTATCGAAATTGTAAGTTTTATGACTGCACAGTCTCACATTTCCCTCTTGGGAGGAGGTAAATTTTGATACAGTTAATATAGGAAAATAATTTTTCAGCATTGTTTGTATGTGGAAATTGTTCAAACTTGATTACAATTGTAAGTGCAGGATAACAGAATGATGATATGTACATTTTGACCTTGGCTGACCCCAAGGGGTTGATGGTTGGGGTCAGAAAGGGTCTAATGGACTCCTGGCTACATGGCGGGGAAAAGGGGTACCAGTTTGTAGAATCAATTCCTCCTAGAGTTTTTTGACATAGAGGCTTGAAACTTTGTAGGATGTTTATATATATGTTGATGATGTGCACCTCCTATTACGGTTTCATTGCGGACATTTTTCTGGATTTTCCTGGCTTTGGAACTTAGTCATTTTCTGAAACTTTTCTTGTTATCACAGTTTCTCAGAAACTACTACAAACTGCACCAATTCATAAAATACTGCCAAATTTTCTCTCTTATAACAAATATTCTACATACTCAACAAATGAAACACCCATAACTGTCTTATAAATACCATATAACATTGCACTCATCCCACAACCCCGCCAATTGTGGCTTTGCCCCATTTTTATTTCCATTATATGAATAAGGAAGTTGATGTCATCTTACTTTGTTAACAAGATTGTTTCTGAGACATGTTACAAGGACACTGACAACGTTGTAACTAAGGTGACTGTTAACGCCCTTGTTTTGAGGCAAGGTTTTATCTGATATTTTAAAAGCATAAGTAGACTTTTTTTTTTGTACTGCAAAAAACAATTAATTTTAACATTATTATTTTTATGAATTTTCATTTTTGTAAAACATCTTGTGTTAAATATTGTGAAGATGTTTGTTATATTTTATTGTAAAAGATTTTACATTTTGTGAACATGTTAAAATATGTTTTTCATGTGTCATATTGTATTTCCGATCTTTGAAGTCTATTGTTGATTGATAACTCTATTTTTTGAAGCGTTATTTGCTGATTTACATAATGATACTAGAGATGTTTGTACGTGTATCTATACCGGTATATCTTAAATACAGGACTCAATCTAGATGTAGTGTAACACCTAGAACTTATTTATATTGTTACTAATTAAGATGTTGATATCGACTCACTGTATACTATTGTATGACAGGATTTAGCTCAGTTAGTGCAGTAGGAACAGTATATTATATCTGTAATCTCACTGTACACTATTGTATGACAGGATTTAGTTGAGTTAGTGCAGTAGGAACAGTATATTATATCTGTAATCTCACTGTACACTATTGTATGACAGGATTTAGCTCAGTTAGTGCAGTAGGAACAGTATATTATATCTGTAGTCTCACTGTATACTATTGTATGACAGGATTTAGTTGAGTTAGTGCAGTAGGAACAGTAATATTATAGCTGTGATCTCACTGTATACTATTGTATGACAAGATTTAGTTGAGTTAGTGCAGTAGGAACAGTATATTATATCTGTAATCTCACTGTATACTATTGTATGACAGGATTTAGCTCAGTTAGTGCAGTAGGAATAGTATGTTATATCTGTAGTCTCACTGTATACTATTGTATGACAGGATTTAGGTCTTTAGTGCAGTAGGAACAGTAATATTATATCTGTAGTCTCACTGTATACTATTGTATGACAGGATTTAGTTGAGTTAGTGCAGTAGGAACAGTAATATTATATCTAGTGCAGTAGGAACAGTAATATTATATCTGTAATCTCACTGTATACTATTGTATGACAGGATTTAGTTGAGTTAGTGCAGTAGGAACAGTAATATTATATCTAGTGCAGTAGGAACAGTAATATTATATCTGTAATCTCACTGTATACTATTGTATGACAGGATTTAGTTGAGTTAGTGCAGTAGGAACAGTATATTATATCTGTAATCTCACTGTATACTATTGTATGACAGGATTTAGGTCTTTAGTGCAGTAGGAACAGTAATATTATATCTGTAGTCTCACTGTATACTATTGTATGACAGGATTTAGTTGAGTTAGTGCAGTAGGAACAGTAATATTATATCTGTGATCTCACTGTATACTATTGTATGACAGGATTTAGTTGAGTTAGTGCAGTAGGAACAGTAATATTATATCTGTAATCTCACTGTATACTATTGTATGACAGGATTTAGTTGAGTTAGTGCAGTAGGAACAGTAATATTATATCTGTGATCTCACTGTATACTATTGTATGACAGGATTTAGTTGAGTTAGTGCAGTAGGAACAGTAATATTATATCTGTAATCTCACTGTATACTATTGTATGACAGGATTTAGTTGAGTTAGTGCAATAGGAACAGTAATATTATAGCTGTGATCTCACTGTATACTATTGTATGACAGGATTTAGCTCAGTTAGTGCAGTAGGAACAGTAATATTATATCTGTAATCTCACTGTATACTATTGTATGACAGGATTTAGTTGAGTTAGTGCAGTAGGAACAGTAATATTATATCTGTAATCTCACTGTATACTATTGTATGACAGGATTTAGTTGAGTTAGTGCAGTAGGAACAGTAATATTATATCTGTAATCTCACTGTATACTATTGTATGACAGGATTTAGTTGAGTTAGTGCAGTAGGAACAGTAATATTATATCTGTAGTCTCACTGTATACTATTGTATGACAGGATTTAGTTGAGTTAGTGCAGTAGGAACAGTAATATTATAGCTGTGATCTCACTGTATACTATTGTATGACAGGATTTAGCTCAGTTAGTGCAGTAGGAACAGTAATATTATATCTAGTGCAGTAGGAACAGTAATATTATATCTGTAGTCTCACTGTATACTATTGTATGACAGGATTTAGTTGAGTTAGTGCAGTAGGAACAGTAATATTATATCTAGTGCAGTAGGAACAGTAATATTATATCTGTGATCTGTATCTCTAATATTATATCTGTATCTCACTGTATTGTATGACAGGATTTAGTTGAGTTAGTGCAGTAGGAACAGTAATATTATAGCTGTGATCTCACTGTATACTATTGTATGACAGGATTTAGCTCAGTTAGTGCAGTAGGAACAGTAATATTATATCTGTAATCTCACTGTATACTATTGTATGACAGGATTTAGCTCAGTTAGTGCAGTAGGAATATTATATCTGTAATCTTGACAGTGTTATAATATATATCTGTAGTCTCACTGTATACTATTGTATGACAGGATTTAGGTCTTTATTGCAGTAGGAACAGTAATATTATATCTGTAGTCTCACTGTATACTATTGTATGACAGGATTTAGCTCAGTTAGTGCAGTAGGAACAGTAATATTATATCTGTAGTCTCACTGTATACCATTGTATGACAGGATTTAGTTGAGTTAGTGCAGTAGGAACAGTAATACTATAGCTGTGATCTCACTGTATACTATTGTATGACAGGATTTAGCTCAGTTAGTGCAGTAGGAACAATAATATTATATCTGTAATCTCACTGTATACTATTGTATGACAGGATTTAGTTGAGTTAGTGCAGTAGGAACAGTAATATTATAGCTGTGATCTCACTGTATACTATTGTATGACAGGATTTAGCTCAGTTAGCAGCAGTAGGAACAGTAATATTATATCTAGTGCAGTAGGAACAGGATTTAGCTCAGTTAGTGCAGTAGGAACAGTAATATTATATCTGTAGTCTCACTGTATACTATTGTATGACAGGATTTAGCTCAGTTAGTGCAGTAGTATGACAGTAATATTATATCTGTATCTCACTGTATACTTATGAGGATTAGTGCAGTAGGAACAGTAATATTATAGCTGTGATCTCACTGTATACTATTGTATGACAGGATTTAGTTGAGTTAGTGCAGTAGGAACAGTATATTATAGCTGTGATCTCACTGTATACTATTGTATGACAGGTTTTAGTTGAGTTAGTGCAGTAGGAACAGTAATATTATATCTGTAGCATTCTTACAACTTTTTTTATTCTACAAGCTTAATTGTCTCATACCCATAGCAGGGGACAATCTGAAACCATTTCACTTATACATGATTTTACAGAAATTGAACATATTAATTAATTACTTCATAGTTTTATAAGTTGTATGGCTGTAGATAATTAACGCCTCCTCAGGCCTTGACATGGTAATAATTGGTTTAAAACCATAACCTTGATAAAATAGATTTATTTTGAATCCTTTGAACTAGCATTCTATTTACAGAAAGATTTTTGGAAATAACTGTTTTCTTATAATTTCTATTTTCACTCCCTGAATGTCTAGTTTTGATAAACTGTATTTTATCATTCCTTTTTATTTTTGATCAGTTGTTTAACAACCAGAACTTTATACATGTACCAGATGACAGGTTACAGAAGATGTTGTGATGTTCATTGTTTTGAGACAATTGTACAGCATTTTAGTTCAACCCCTAAGTACAGGGTGATAAGTGACCAAGGGGTGTTCTCTGATCTAATTCTTCTTAGGGACCTCCTACTCCACCCTTAATGTAGTGGGCCTCGTCTTAACTCGGTTACAAGTCACTGAAGGACATTTCCAGATAATCAGCAAATCTGTTGTAATCATTACACATATTTTAATGACTGAAAATTTTAAGATCCCAGAATGGTTTGGTTATAATGGTGCAGCTGTCTGGCGCCAAGGTATTCAGTGTTTTATTCTCTGGTAGAGTATCTATCTATTCCATTACATTCGCTATGAAAGATTTACATTTTTTTCTCAATTTTCACATTTTTTAATTTGATTCCATATAGGAAGAAAATTTAGACAATATGCTTCTCAATATTATAGATATTTAGTGAATGCTGGTATTGAAGAGTGTCCACATGTGTGTCTGATCTATAGATAGTACTGTTGATAAGATATTGCAAAAGTTTCAACATTTTATGTCGGTTGTGATTCAAAACATAATTAGTTTGGAAAGTAAGGAGTTAAATATCAGACACTAAGGACACTGTGCTTTCCATACAGATAAGAGCTGTCCACTTTGATGGTTATATAATAGATGGATATTGTCAATTAGTTTCTCGTTACTTAAGGATTGATATATGTTCATATGTTAAAGCCATAATACAGATATACTGGTGAAAATTCAGTTATAAAATTCACAGTTTATACTGCATTTTTTTTCTTTTTTTAATGTCTTACACCACTGCTTTGGCCAATAAAATGTGACATTACAAAATGATGTCGGTATATGATAACATAAAAAAAGCCCATGAATATGCTGTTTCATGAATAATTCATATCATCATAGAAAGATATCAGATTTATCTGAAGTGAAATTCAAGGACTTGCATGTTATGACAAGGTCTGCGACAGACAAAATCTTGTATGAAAACAAAAATAAGTCAGCCAAGAGGGTGTTCCCATGGATATGCCACACTTCAGATATTAACCACATGTTGTCCACCAGAAATGGTTATTGTTACTATTTTTTTTAGTATTTTTCATCTACCCTTAAAGTACTTCAGAATCCACATTCCATTATTCTGAAGTATTGATTTCAAACCATTGTTTTTACGACGTGAAACATGAAACTTCTGGTGATATATTAATATCGGTCTTGAAACATTTATCTGTTGATGATGAATTGAAGTGGCGTCGTTTTTGAAATATAATTCTTTTGATAATGAAAAAGCAGTCTGTCATTTCTATAAATTTCAAACCTAGGTAAAATCAAGTAACCCTCACTCATTAATACCAGATTGTACAAAAGGCACTCGGATGTGTAACATCGTTTAATACATAATTTTATGTCATCTGACCCGAAGGCGGCCAACCGTCGTGCTCCATCCTTCGTGTGTGAACTCTCCCTTCAGTTGACTCCTTCTCAATAACCAAAAGCCCCAGGATGCTGATATTGGGCCTGTAGCATGATGGGATGAATGGCTAAGAAGATTGTGAAAATGAATGATCTTGACATACTTTCAAGGTCACAGGGGTTAAATGGGTTAGAATCTTCAAACAACTTCTCAATAAGCAATAGGCCCAGGGTACTGATAATGGGCCTGTAGCCAGCTTGGACGAAAGGCTACGAATTTTGTTCATATTATTGACCTTGACCTTCTTTCAAGGTCACAGTGTCAAATATGTCTGTCTATCTTTAAACGTCTTAATATAGTAACCAAAATGAAGGATTTCCAATTTTGTTCATGTGATTGACTTTTTTTCTTTTAAAAGATCACAGGGGTCGAATGTGTTAGAATCTTCAAACGATTTCTTCTCGATAACAAAAAAAATCTAGGCAATTTATATTGGTAATTTAATATAAGTGGACGAAGGGCTATATATTCAAGAACTCAAGTACTGGGTGACCACTAGGCACAGTAAAAGAATAAATGCTGGTCAAGTTATTGAAATAAAACATGAACAGGTGATGATAAGCATCATTATATATATATGTGTGTGATCGGTTTCTGTTTCAAGCGTTTTGTAGATGTTCTTTGGATCCTGAGTGAAACACGTTTCAGGATTCCTGTTTCAAGCGTGTTGCAGATATTTCATGTTTCCTGGGTTAAACTGGTAGATATTCTATAGCTCCTGTTTGAAGCGTGTTTTTGATGTCCCATGGTTCCTGTTTCAAGCAAATTGACTGTTAGATATCAATATCAGGGCTGTCGCTGAAGCTGTGTTTATCTTCAGGCATCGGGACACGCGAACCCCGGCTCATCTACAACAATATGTATACAACGTTACAGAATATAAACTAAAGCTAATATACATCATATACATTTATGTATAGAATGTTCCTTTAATCAGACCTCAGAACACGCACACGTTGGATTTTCAATAACATATTTAGAAAAGTAGTTTAACATGCATACATCGAAGGCTGTTTGTGAGTTTCCAAAAACTTACGTTTCGTTTGTCATACAAAGGATGCAGATTTTAAAAAGTAATGCGTTTTCAAAATCTTACAAGAGCAATTGAACGTCTTTTCAAGTTACATCTATACCAAACTGACGAATCTCACCGCGAACATTTAAACAGCTGTGGAGTAACCATGTATCTGAGAACTCTTTAATTATCTAGTTCGTATAAAAACGAATTTGGACAGGGAACTATTCCTTGTAATAAGTGACGTGTAGTTGTGTGAGATATCTTCTCGGAAACAGGCATCGGAGTAGAGAATAAAAACATTAATAATTCTAGTATATGTTGGCGCTACATGTCGACCAGCAGGACTACGACTAAATTTGTACATCCTAAGTGACCACTCAAATAAGACCAACGCTGCACAGCAACGTTATTTCTTTTGTCCTGTACTTTGTTTTCGAAACTGTGTTCCTGTTTACCAATATTGTATCCTCCAATGGCAGACAATGTTAGAATCAGTCTGACTGTGACGCAACCTAGCGAGATGATACTGGTGTCAATGATCACGTGACAGGTTGTGAGAAGCAAGCCCACAGATGTTAAAAACATTTGGTAAACCATTGATAATCAACAAGATATCGAGTTTAAGTAAGTGATAGGGTTGTTGAAATTTTCATAAAACACCGCATTTACATTTATTTTATGTGAATGATATATAAAAAAAAAAGTTGGGAAATAACATTAACGCACAAACATTGAATGAAATAACAAATGATTAACGTCGATGTGTAGGATGAAAACCTACCCCCTTGAACCTGGATTGATATTTCTCTAGAGCGGCCACCAGTATGCTAAGAACTACACCACACGACACGACTACCAGTGGGACAGTGAATCTCGTCATGTCCATGTGTTTGACGTCTAAGTACGCATCTACCGTCGGCGGGACGTATCGACGGGATGACGATATATCCGAGTAGCTTCCACACGGCCCGCTCATCCATTTATTCATAATCCCCCAAAGTTCACCGCTCTCCTTTATTTCGAGAACTGCATGGTCCAGTTGCCGACAGATGTCGATGTCTGGTCGGCAGGCGAAGGCGTATGACCGTTCCACAATCAGGTCTGCTGATACAGCTAGATCGCACGTTTTCGCCGCCTCGTAATACGCTGCATCGCTTTCCATGATTAGGGCGTAATCTCCGTTGCTGTCTTTTACTCGAGATATTCCTTCAGACATTGATGACACCAAGACATCGAGGCGATTATTCCAATAACGATTAATTCGTTTTTCAATTTTACCTGTTGAAACTTTAAAATAATGTCTCGTAGCACCAAATTCTGAAGTACCGAACTGTATCTTGGATTGCTCTGTCATCTGTTCAAATGTGTAAAACGGAAGAGGATCCTGGACGTCTGGAAACTTCAGAAACAACATGGATGTGAGACTGGACGTATACAGAACGACAGTTACTAGAGCAAAAATCCACCAGAAACACACCAGCGTCCGTCCGGCAAGTGACGTAGGAGTCAGGCGAAATCCTATATTTAGAATAGAAAACATTAAACGATAAAAGTAAATATGAAATAGGCACTGCATAGAAGTGAAGGCAATTTGATTTATAAGATGTAAATATATATATATCATGGCTTCACTAAAGTGGTTTATAAAACTTTATTAATATTAAAGTTTAGATATTACTAAATTTATATTTCATAACATACATGTAATATAATATTTTTTTATCATGTGAAACTCGTGCCAAATCAGGAGCTTTGGACACCGTCCGTGTAAGAGACGAGCTGTTTTCTCGTTTACAGAAAATGACGACGGGTTCCCGAGCCTAATATAGGAAATAAAGCGAACAGAAAATCAAATGTGCTGTCTTCCTGATAAGTTCTACAGTAGACATTTTTTGTTTATGATATATATATATCTTATATATTTCAAGAGCAGGACAGGAAATACATGTATCAAAATTATAGAACCGAAGGAGGTGTAGTAGACTGACCACTGCTCAGTATAACTTTTGTCTGTTAGGCTGCACTCGTCAAACGAATTCAAGCGGAAAGTTAAAAATACAAAATGCAATATGATCGAGAACTGTACCTCACCAATCAAAGAAATACTCGGACTTTGTATTACAGTATTGGTTTGCTGTTGTTTTGTTCAGAAGTATTTGTGAGCCGTCGCAAAGTTGAGTGAAGTGTTGAATTTCGAGGCGGAATTCGTTGTGATTTTTTGCTCATAGCGAAATAAGCAGTCAGACGTTTATTCTAATTGACAGGAAGACACTCCAATAATATCTACTTTGAGGCAATACATTTTATATACTCGTCGCCCTATACTATTTACAAAAGACTAAGTTAAACGATCGTGTTTTAAACAGCAACTTTGAATTCAAAATGAAATTTTGCAATCTAGATGTAAAAAAAAAAAAAAATCTAACACAAACGCGTCTCAGTATTTCAAGGAATCAATTTTCGCGATCACGCTGAATAGGGAAAATATAATCCCAGCAAAATTTCGGGCAATACCGTATTAGTAAAATGCATAACTGCTGCTTGAGTATATCATTCGTTCTATGATAGTTCTGACATATTGTGTAAAGATACATCATAATAGGTACGTCCGCCATTTATGAGGCTGTATGTATAGGCACGTTGGAAGATAAACTGGTCTAGATAAGGACAACTACATTAACACAGTGACGAACCCATAAACACGCGCACTAATTGTGGAACATAATCACGTGAGACAGATTCAACTACTCACCCTGTAAAGACAGCATACTGAAGGTCATAAAGAAAGCGGTAGATATCATGAGGTGCTGTTCCCCACGATCGGCAGCTCGTTCCTCAGGGTTCATCCTATACACGTAAAACACATGATCAAGACAGAAAGTGAAATAGACGAATATTTGGAGAGATATTTAAAGATATCAAAATTAATTTATCATAACAACGTGACATGATTTGGTTTCAAATGACCGATCAAGTGTATGAAGCAGAACACTAACACTTCTGAAACACCTGGTCTTATTTTCCTTGCACATTTCTTTTTGTAAACCTTTCATTTGATTTCATTTTGACTTTGTTTCTTCGATTTGGAAATTAAATTAAGGATTTGTTATCAAGTCGGTATCTTATTAACTTTATCTGGTTCTCTATCTAGTCAGATATCACTTTCCAACAGGGATTTTAAGTAAGATTTAAAGGCCAAATGTACTTTTTAAAATACATTTTCCATCCTTTCAAGTATTCGAATATTCAAAAGTGTGTGTCCTGGACAATATCACATGGCTGTTTTGTAATGATGCTGGTCAAAATTAAAACAAAAGCCTGGGCGACCTAATTTTAGTGTAAGATATTCAAAGTTCTGCAAGAAGTTATGATGATACTAACAAAGAGCAATGAGAAAGTCCTTCCGTTGTACAGAAGGGTGTACAACGTTACAGGTGGCGTTCTAGATAATTTACATGTATTACTGATTAAACCATACAGTCCACGTGACCACACCTGCTAATCCCGTACAGCACCAGCGACACTACGATGAAAGCGACAAGGATTGACACCCATGTTCCGACTGTGAATGGCTGGAATGGGAGGGAGGCGGTGTTATGTGTCTGGGGATGTTTAGGTGGCTTCTTCATCAGGATGCTTAATGCGTACTTTACACAGGAGATGGACATGGGTTAATGCATACTTTACACAGGAGATGGACATGGGTTAATGCATACTTTACACAGGAGATGGACATGGGACGATGCGTACTTTACACAGGAGATGGACATGGGTTAATGCGTACTTTACACAGGAGATGGACATGGGTTAATGCATACTTTACACAGGAGATGGACATGGGTTAATGCATACTTTACACAGGAGATGGACATGGGTTAATGCGTACTTTACACAGGAGATGGACATGGGTTAATGCGTGCTTTACACAGGAGATGGACATGGGACGATGCATACTTTACACAGGAGATGGATTTGGGACGATGCGTACTTTACACAGGAGATGGACATGGGTTAATGCATACTTTACACAGGAGATGGACATGGGTTAATGCGTACTTTACACAGGAGATGGACATGGGTTAATGCATACTTTACACAGGAGATGGACATGGGTTAATGCATACTTTACACAGGAGATGGACATAGGGCGATGCATACTTTACACAGGAGATGGACATGGGTTAATGCATACTTTACACAGGAGATGGATTTGGGACGATGCGTGCTTTACACAGGAGATGGACATGGGTCGATGCATACTTTACACAGGAGATGGACATGGGTTAATGCATACTTTACACAGGAGATGGACATGGGACGATGCATACTTTACACAGGAGATGGACATGGGTTAATGCATACTTTACACAGGAGATGGACATGGGTTAATGCATACTTTACACAGGAGATGGACATGGGTTAATGCATACTTTACACAGGAGATGGACATGGGTTACGATGCATACTTTACACAGATGGACATGGGTTAATGCGTACTTTACACAGGAGATGGACATGGGTTAATGCATACTTTACACAGGAGATGGACATGGGTTAATGCTATTTACACAGGAGATGGACATGGGACTATGCGTACTTTACACAGGAGATGGACATGGGTTAATGCATACTTTACACAGGAGATGGACATGGGTTAATGCATACTTTACACAGGAGATGGACATGGGTTAATGCATACTTTACACAGGAGATGGACATGGGTTAATGCATACTTTACACAGGAGATGGACATGGGTTAATGCATACTTTACACAGGAGATGGACATGGGTTAATGCGTACTTTACACAGGAGATGGACATGGGTTAATGCATACTTTACACAGGAGATGGACATGGGACGATGCGTACTTTACACAGGAGATGGACATGGGACGATGCATACTTTACACAGGAGATGGACATGGGTCGATGCATACTTTACACAGGAGATGGACATGGGTTAATGCATACTTTACACAGGAGATGGACATGGGTTAATGCATACTTTACACAGGAGATGGACATGGGTTAATGCATACTTTACACAGGAGATGGACATGGGTTAATGCATACTTTACACAGGAGATGGACATGGGTTAATGCATACTTTACACAGGAGATGGACATGGGTTAATGCATACTTTACACAGGAGATGGACATGGGACGATGCATACTTTACACAGGAGATGGACATGGGTTAATGCATACTTTACACAGGAGATGGACATGAAACGATGCATACTTTACACAGGAGATGGACATGGGTTAATGCATACTTTACACAGGAGATGGACATGGGTTAATGCATACTTTACACAGGAGATGGACATGGGTTAATGCATACTTTACACAGGAGATGGACATGGGACGATGCATACTTTACACAGGAGATGGATTTGGGTCGATGCGTACTTTACACAGGAGATGGACATAGGGCGATGCATACTTTACACAGGAGATGGACATGGGTTAATGCATACTTTACACAGGAGATGGACATGGGTTAATGCATACTTTACACAGGAGATGGACATAGGGCGATGCATACTTTACACAGGAGATGGACATGGGTTAATGCGTACTTTACACAGGAGATGGACATGGGTCGATGCATACTTTACACAGGAGATGGACATGGGACGATGCATACTTTACACAGGAGATGGACATGGGTTAATGCATACTTTACACAGGAGATGGACATGGGTTAATGCGTGCTTTACACAGGAGATGGACATGGGTTAATGCATACTTTACACAGGAGATGGACATGGGTTAATGCATACTTTACACAGGAGATGGACATGGGTTAATGCGTACTTTACACAGGAGATGGACATACTTTACACAGGAGATGGACATGGGTTAATGCGTGCTTTACACAGGAGATGGACATGGGTTAATGCGTGCTTTACACAGGAGATGGACATGGGTTAATGCATACTTTACACAGGAGATGGACATGGGTTAATGCGTGCTTTACACAGGAGATGGACATGGGTTAATGCATACTTTACACAGGAGATGGACATGGGTTATGCATACTTTACACAGGAGATGGAGCATGGGTTAATGCATACTTTACAGGAGATGGACATGGGTCGATGCGTACTTTACACAGGAGATGGACATGGGTTAATACGTACTTTACACAGGAGATGGACATGGGTCGATGCGTACTTTACATAGGAGATGGACATAGGTTAATGCGTACTTTACACAGGAGATGGACATGGGTTAATGGAGATGGACATATGCTTTTTACACAGGAGATGGACATGGGTTAATGCAATGCGTACTTTACACAGGAGATGGACATGGGTTAATGCATACTTTACACAGGAGATGGACATGGGACGATGCATACTTTACACAGGAGATGGACATGGGTTAATGCGTACTTTACACAGGAGATGGACATGGGTTAATGCGTACTTTACACAGGAGATGGACATGGGTTAATGCGTGCTTTACACAGGAGATGGACATGGGGCGATGCATACTTTACACAGGAGATGGACATGGGTCGATGCGTACTTTACACAGGAGATGGACATGGGTTAATGCGTACTTTACACAGGAGATGGACATGGGTTAATGCATACTTTACACAGGAGATGGACATGGGACGATGCATACTTTACACAGGAGATGGACATGGGTTAATGCATACTTTACACAGGAGATGGACATGGGTCGATGCGTACTTTACACAGGAGATGGACATGGGTTAATGCATACTTTACACAGGAGATGGACATGGGACGATGCGTACTTTACACAGGAGATGGACATGGGTTAATGCGTACTTTACACAGGAGATGGACATGGGTTAATGCGTACTTTACACAGGAGATGGACATGGGTTAATGCGTACTTTACACAGGAGATGGACATGGGTTACATTTACACAGGAGATGGACATGGGTTATGCATACTTTACACAGGAGATGGACATGGGTACACACACAGGAGATGGACATGGGTTACATGGGTTATGCTACTTTACACAGGAGATGGACATGGGTTAATGCATACTTTACACAGGAGATGGACATGGGTTAATGCATACTTTACACAGGAGATGGACATGGGTTAATGCATACTTTACACAGGAGATGGACATGGGTCGATGCATACTTTACACAGGAGATGGACATGGGTTAATGCATACTTTACACAGGAGATGGACTTTACACAGGAGATGGACATGGGTTAATGCATACTTTACACAGGAGATGGACATGGGTTAATGCGTACTTTACACAGGAGATGGACATGGGTTAATGCGTACTTTACACAGGAGATGGACATGGGTTAATGCGTACTTTACACAGGAGATGGACATGGGTTAATGCGTACTTTACACAGGAGATGGACATGGGTTAATGCGTACTTTACACAGGAGATGGACATGGGTTAATGCATACTTTACACAGGAGATGGACATGGGACGATGCGTACTTTACACAGGAGATGGACATGGGACGATGCGTACTTTACACAGGAGATGGACATGGGTTAATGCGTACTTTACACAGGAGATGGACATGGGTCGATGCGTACTTTACACAGGAGATGGACATGGGTTAATGCATACTTTACACAGGAGATGGACATGGGTTAATGCGTACTTTACACAGGAGATGGACATGGGTTAATGCGTACTTTACACAGGAGATGGACATGGGTTAATGCATACTTTACACAGGAGATGGACATGGGTTAATGCGTACTTTACACAGGAGATGGACATGGGTTAATGCGTACTTTACACAGGAGATGGACATGGGTTATGCATACTTTACACAGGAGATGGACATGGGATGATGCATGGGTACTTTTACACAGGAGATGGACATGGGTTAATGCGTACTTTACACAGGAGATGGGAGATGGACATGGGTTAATGCGTACTTTACACAGGAGATGCGTACTTTACACAGGAGATGGACATGGGTTAATGCATACTTTACACAGGAGATGGACATGGGACGATGCATACTTTACACAGGAGATGGACATGGGACGATGCGTACTTTACACAAGAGATGGACATGGGTTAATGCATACTTTACACAGGAGATGGACATGGGTCGATGCATACTTTACACAGGAGATGGACATGGGTTAATGCGTACTTTACACAGGAGATGGACATGGGTTAATGCGTACTTTACACAGGAGATGGACATGGGTTAATGCATACTTTACACAGGAGATGGACATGGGTCGATGCATACTTTACACAGGAGATGGACATGGGTTAATGCATACTTTACACAGGAGATGGACATAGGGTTAATGCATACTTTACACAGGAAATGGACATGGGTTAATGCGTACTTTACACAGGAGATGGACATGGGTTAATGAATGGACATGGGTTAATGCATTACACAGGAGATGGACATGGGTTAATGCGTGCTTTACACAGGAGATGGACATGGGTTAATGCGTACTTTACACAGGAGATGGACATGGGTCGATGCGTACTTTACACAGGAGATGGACATGGGTTAATACGTACTTTACACAGGAGATGGACATGGGTTAATGCTTACTTTACACAGGAGATGGACATGGGTTAATGCGTACTTTACACAGGAGATGGACATAGGGCGATGCATACTTTACACAGGAGATGGACATGGGTTAATGCATACT